TTTTTGTCTGAAAAAATGAGTGTGACACTGTCTCAAAATAAAAATTAAAAGCGCTGGAGATTAGCTCAATGATATAGTAGCACACAGGAAGCCCTGGGTTTCAGCTCTGGCACTAGAGGAAAAAAACTGAAGATGGGAGAGGGATGGAAGTGTGGCTACAAAGGGGTATTAGCAGTCCTGTGGTTTTGTTTCTGGAATGTGGTAGTAGATACATGAAGCTGTACAGGTTATAAAACTGCACAGAACTATGCACATACCTCCTTGGCATGTGGACTGTATCAATGTCACTTTTCTGGCTCTAATGTTAGGGTAGCCTGAAAAGTGCATGGAAACTGCTTCTACCTATATTTGCAACATTCTGTCAACCTAATTATCCTCAAATAAATGTAAAAGCAAACCAAGTATGATGGTATGAACCACCCAGTGCTGATAGGTGTGTGTACTATTAGCTACTATGGAGGCTGAAGCAAGACAATCTCTGGATCCCAGAAGATGGAGGCTACTCTGAGTCACATAAAATGAAAATCTGCCTCTCTCTAAATAGAGTAATAAAAAACAAAAAGAGAAATCCATTTACATGCTTCTCTATGCATACTTTTCTTTTTTTAATGTATCAATTATTTAATTAAGTTCTTAATAAGAAATTCAAAACACTAATTTATGAGGATAAATTCCATTTGTCAGAGCAAAAAGGATCGCAGGTAGCCCCGGAGCTGAGGAACAGCTTTGATTTTTGGTAAAATCTGTGAGTCTATTGCTTTCTGATCCACCTTGCACTGCTCTGAGATCTAGTATCTCTTTCTTAGTGTCAAAGATCTCACCCTCCTGGTGTCTGGGTTTCCACAGCTTCTTGAAGCAAGCATCAGTGAGATGTTTGGGGATTTTCACTTTGCTGATAACAATTTTTGTAGAGGTGGCAACTAGAACACATCGTGTTCTTCACTGAGGAACACGATTAAGGCTAAGAGGCCCAGTCACAAGTAGCAAGCCACTTGCCAACTGCTTCAGGAAGACCACTCTCTTGCCTCTGAGACACCCGGTTAGGATGATCAACATACTGCCGGGAGGGATGCTAGCTTGAAGTTTCCTCCCACGCTGACTAAGGGTTTCTTGCCATGGCTCAAGAGCTTTTGGGGCACATCTTCAGTAGGGTAGTATCTAGGCATTTTTCAAAGCTTAATCACCCGGGTACCGTCATTCTTGTCACCAGTGACTGGTTTTGTGATAGTAGCAAGAGCTTTCTCCTTTTTCTTCTCAACCTTTGACTTAGCAGCTATGTACTTTCTCTTGTACAAAGCCTTTCTAGAATACATAGCAGATTGAGAGTATCTACCAATTCCTTTAATCAGGACAGGATTTTGGCTGCAGTAGGGTGACCCGTTCTTGTACTTTTTTTTTGCCTTCACCTTACCCTTTTTTATCGTGCCACTGGCAGCAGCCTTCTTGGCTTTGGGTTTCTCTCTTTAGTGTCTGGCTTCTCAGGTTTTTCACCCGCCATCTTGCAAGATGGTAAAGAACTCTATGCCTATTCCTTCCATAGCCTTTTTTGCTATAAAATAAGATTCCAGGAAGACTTTTTTGGTTTTTGTTTTCTTTGCAGTACTGGAGATTGAACCCCAAGTCTTTGCACTGAGCTATATTCCCACCTCTTTTTATTTTGAGCTAAGGGTCTCACTGAGTGGCTAAGTCACTCAGCCTTAGCTGGAATTTATAATTGTCTTGTGTCCGGCTCCCAGAGAGCCAGAATTATAAGCATACCCCACCGTACCCCACTTTAGTAAGATACTTAATGTCTGCCTTGGTTTTCTGTGTGTACAATAGGTATATTCAAAAGACAGCAATTTCAGTATACCAAAAAGAGGCTGTTATTCCATATTTGGACTAACCTCACGGAATAAATAGGATATACCAACCTGTTTCACCTGAACAAAAATAAGGGATAAATCTAAAGTAGTTACCATGTCAGTGACTACCTGCTCTGAGGTACCTCTACCCACACCCCTACCCATACAAATGCACTACCAGACTAGGGCAACCAAAATACTCCACTTAGCATCACAGGTATGATCCTGGCATGTCCTACGGGAACACAAATAGGAAGTCTGATGTTACTATGAAACACAGATATATTAGAGCACATGAATAAGAAAGCAATTTCACTGCCAGGTGTGGTAGTGAATGCCTGTAATCTCACCAATAGAGAAGCTGAGGCAGGTGGAGCACAGCAAGCTCAAGGAGCTTGGGCTACACAGTGAGTTCAAGACCTATGAACTACATAGCAAGATCCTATCTCAAAAAAAAGCAAAAGCAATTTTAAGTGTAAGGGCAATGAAAGCCAAACATTATAACAAAGATTCTTTTTTAGACAGTGTTACTATGTTGCCTAGGCTGGCCTGGACTATATGGTAACATTGTCTCAGGCTTGAGTGTGGTGGCACAAGACTATAATCCTAGCACCCAGGATGCTGAGGAAGGAGGACTGCTCCAAGTTTGAGGTCAGCCTGAGCTATCCTGTCTCAAAACCCAATAACAAGAAAAATACAAAACCAACCAACCAATCAACCAGCCAGCCAGCCAACCAACCAAAAAAAACTGTGTCAAACTCCAAAAAGGTCTGGAGATGTAGCTTAATACCAAGTCCCTGAGCTTAATCCCTCATACTAAAAAATCTAACAATTCCATCTTAACTAAATTTTTAATCTTAATCAAGAAATTTTTTTTTTTTTTTTTTTTTTTTAATGGAACAGGGGATTGAACTGAGGCCCTTGCGCTTGCCAGGCAAGTGCTTATGCTACTGACCTATCTCCCCAGTCCCAATCAAGGATTTTTAATTCAGTACAATCAAGTATGTCCCTATTGCTATGAAAATAATCTAGAGAACTTTTTCAATTTGTAAATCTGAAATTCTATATCCAAGCAACCCTTCTATCCTACCCTCCCAGGATAAAGTTTTGAAAGAATTGGCATAAAGCCAGCAGAAAGACTGGGTCAGAGATTTGTCTTCAAGTACATGAAAGTCTATCATGTAGAAAATTTATGCAAAGGGGATCATGGAGCTATTTCAAGTCAACAGAAGAATAATTTTTTTTTTTTTTTTGAGACAAGGTTGTTCTGCTTCAGTCTGAGTATCTGGGACTACTGTCTGTGCCTGACCAAAAGGAAGACTTTATAGATCAACGTATGGGTAGCGCTACCTTAGAAAAAGGAGTAATGCCCCCATTCAAGAACTGAAGGGACCTGAGAGGAGGATATAAATATGGAACAGAAAAAGTCTTTTTCTCACAGTCTCTACTGAAATTGGTATTTCCTTCACTTTATAAAAATTGGCAATAAACCACCCAAGGAACAGCAATGCTCGGTGTAGTACATTGGTGATTCTGATTCCACTAATATAAATGGAATGTTTACTTCATATGCAACTGTTATAGGAATCTCAATTTATTATTTGTGCTCATAACTGTTTTAAAATCAATATATTAGCTGGGGTGGTAGTTCACTCCTGTAATCCTAGTACTTGGGAGCCTGAGGTAGGAGGATTACCATGAGTTTGAGGCCAGCTTGAATTACATAGTGAGTTCAAGGCCGGTCTGGTACATAAAACCTGTCTTGAACCCCAGTCCCCCAAAAAAGAGGGGAAAAAAAATCAATATAGTTTTTTGAACTAATGTCATACCCTATCATTTCATATATAATGAAGAAGTACATACATTAGTTTTTGTTTTGAGACATGGTCTCATGGTGTACTGTAGTCCAGGCTGGCCTCAAATTCATAGTGACCCTCTTAGCTCAGCCTCCTGAGTGCTAGGATTCTAGGCATGTGCCACCATACCTGGTTATCAAAGTTGTTTGAATAGTTTGTTAAAGGATTTCAAGTACCCAGTCACCTACCGGACTGGATGCTTACCAAGATCCAGGTGCATCAACTGTCCTGTATCACTTGAAATAAATGGAGCATGAATATGAAAAAGTTATTATCTATGGGTTGTTTTTTTTTTTGTGTGTGTGCCAGGAATTAAACATAGGACCTATGACTAGCTCCCCCAAAAGTTATTATCTATGAAAATCAGGCAAATTAATTCTGAAAGACTTAAGTTACTGGATTAAACTTACTGCTAAAGTGAATGGAATGGACAATGTAAGGAACAGACTGCTCCGTCTGTGTACCAAGACTGGGAAGCACTGGTCCAGGTGGCTAATTGGGCCCTCATCTACAGTTCCGTGGTGACTAACATATGGCATAATGGAAGTCTTTCAACCTCTTAAGCGAAGTCACACCTAAGTCCCTGTGAGAGGCACAGCCAGGTGGGTATCTAAATAGGGGCATATAACACACACATAGGAAGTCAGAGATGCACACCTATAACTTCACTCCCCACTCCCAACTCATCTATTTCCAGACAACTGAGCCAGTTCCAGCTAGTCACTGCCAGAATTCGGCCACAGAGCTCTCCCCCCACGTGCCTATCCCAATCAGGTGGCATCATCTAATGCCTACCCAAGATGACTATCAGCAATTCCTCTGATGTCCACATTCTGGCTGAGGAAAAACGACTGTAGCCCCAAGGTTTGAGCACTTAAATATTCTATTTCTGTAAATGTTGTGAAACACATGACTGAAAGTGAAAAGCAAGATTCTTAAGCCAGGTGACTCCAACTCCTTACAATGTAGTTTGTTGCTTCTGCTGTTCAGTGGTTCCGGTCCATTCATGTCTTTGCTCTTTTCATTATCCTCAATGGGTCGGAAATGAGCCAAAGTTCTCATGAATCCACGGAAATTTACCTGGTCCTCTCTGGATGGGAAATATTAAAAATATAAAACCATGTCAATCAGGGTTGGCCTTTTTGTTATTTTGTTTTCCCTTTTTTTTTTTTTTTTTTTTTGTACCAGGGATTGAACCCAGGACCTTGTGCCTGCCAGGCAAGCACTCATTCCACTGAACTATCTCCCCAGCCCGTTTTCCTTTTTTTTGTAGTGC